AGTTTGTAAGTGATATTCGCGAAACCTGGTTGCCTTTGATTCGATCCCAAACGTAGTCGTAGGTCTGCATTTTTTCAAGAGTTTCATTATACTACGACGACTAAAAAGCTATCCAATGGTCCTTAATCTTTATCGGTGCCCCCAAATGCCCTGGTACGGCCGAGAGTGGGGAGAGTCCGCTCTCCCTCTCGAAATGCTCTCACATGGCCATGCGTACATAGCCCCTGCCAGGGAAGTCCTACTCACTGCCTTCTCGTGGCGGGGGTGTTGTTTACAAAAATGAGAGGACGAAAAGCGAATGTCTGGCGCTTTAACCGGACCCCAAACCAATGGTGCACATGGGCTCCAGTATCCTGCGGGAACAAATGGCGTATGAACCAATCGTTGGTCACCGGCTACCATGGGACTGCATCTCCTCACGATGCTCCACTGCCTTGTGGGTCAGACGTACAGGTCAAAGGCTCGGGGTGTGGCCCCCTAAGACAACCACCTGCTTCGGTTTGGGCACCCGGGCAGTATCACAGCCCTCACACAAATCAATTGAGATTTGTGTGGCGCATATGTATTTTGGTGCCTCCCTGTACCTATACTTATGTGTTAAAATAAATAAATAAATAAATAAATCTTTATCGGTACACCGGCTATGATCGATACGTGATCAGTATCTCTCACGAATCAATGGAATAGTTTACTTATATCTAATTGTTCCATCACCAAAATCTGTACAATATCGCGCTGATAAAACTCAAATTATCATCATTTGTATGGTCTAAAATATGATAATCAGACAGACAGCATGAAACATTATTTATCGTCTGCATTGATCAACTAGTTTATCTGCCTAGATCAATATGGATTATGTATGGATATACCAGGAACTGAGCTTAGCAGTTGAATATTCTTAAAGTTACTTACCTTGTGTTTTAAACACGAAAATTAGTCGAGAAATATTTGAGTAACTATAAAATAGAGTGTACATTAATCATTTATGGACGACCTTTAAACGAATCATAAATGACCTTCATAAATATCAGCCAATCAGCAAACAGTAAGTATAGAGTAAAAACATATACAAAACCAAGGAAATAAGGTGGATCCACTCCTTATACGTGGTTCAAAAACTTGTCAAGGTTACAAAGAGGTTTATAGGTTCTAAAATCGTAATGCATGTGTAGTGAACAAGAATAACAATGGGGACAATCGAATGTATTTAGGCACATAATTACAGAGCATCTCAATAAAATCTGAGGACCATATATTAAATCGTTAATTTGCAAAATATCAATCCATCATATCAAACTTGACTGTTCCTGTTGCAAACATTAATCCATTGTCTCAGATTTCACTGTTCATGCGTTTTCATACCAATTGCGTTTCGTTCCCGTTCTTTCCTCATCAAACTTCTACTGAAATACATTCTATGCCTGACCACCGTCATATACTACTTGTGTGGATATAAGTAACCCACATCACACATGTAGTAGAGAAACTCATCCATATGTCTACAAAATAGTCGGCCTCTGGAGCCATGATAAAGTTTCAAAAACTTTCACAGCCTCGACCACATAGCCTCAATATTGTTTACGTGCTTTCCGGTTGTTAAGTACACAAAATGCCACTTGTGGATAACGACAAGATGCACGTAACCATGCCTGTGTGAGAGTCTGTACACTCTCTAATCATCCATATATATTGTAGTACCTGGTGCTTTTATTATCCAGTTCGCAATAATTGTCATAATTTGCCTTATTCAGGAATTATATATAGTGCTTTCATCACGAACTGACATCAGTTATAATACCAGAAATCTATTTAGCCAAATGGATGAAAGGTCTTCGCGCTAAAATACAGAATGTGTCATTTTATACCTGTTTGACTCGTCCACAAATTATAGTCTCGCCGTTTTATTTGTGATAGCCGCTTAATTATCACGTTTTGTACAAAATTCCCTGTGAACAGACCGTACGTTATAATTAAGCACTGAAGTTAGCGCTGTGACCTTAAAATCCCTCAAACACTTCGGATTGGCTCGTCCATGAATTAGAGTCTCGCCCATTCATCTATTGTAATGACTTTCGATAACCCATCTGTAATGTGAAAACGATAGTCTCCACGATATTCTTGTTTCACAAGCATGATCATTGAAAATGTGAATTAAACACTACAATTCGAGAATACACATATTTTTATCAGTAAACAATATTTTAAAGAGTATAATCTTTTAACATGAAACCGAACCAACGCATTGATAAAGAAAGATAAGAGAGGTTCGTTACACACAAACTTATAATTCATGTAGTGTAGAAATTGTTGAATATATACATATCTAACTATTCGGTATTTATAAGTAGTATGGTGTTAGACAATAAAGATATAAGGAAAATAAATGTAACTTATAGGCAAAATTTCGATATTGGTGATTCCAAAATGCCTGATTACCCTCGAACAGTATTATTATTAATCATTTTTCTAAAATAATTGCAGAAAAATTTTAGAGTTTAGCTTTAAATTATTCGAAATATAGAAGATATCCATATTAATACTTCAACAGGCATGTATTCACATGCTCCTTGTCTAAATGTTTAAATTGCCACTTGGAACAATATTGAATAGAAAATTACTAGATAACTTTACAGTCATTTTTACACGAATTTAACAACCTTTAAGGGAAGACTAGTTATTTTTATTACAAACGGTTACACATACGTTGTGATCGTAGATTAAAACAATAACTCATAGTGTAAACAGAAGTCATGTTCTTTCATTTTACATAAAATTAGATCTAGACACCAAGAGGTAAATTTTCTCAGGTCATGGAAATACTGAGAACATTTTGATTAATCAGCGTTTTTTACAAAATTTCAATAAAATTTTATATAAGACAGATTATGTTTGGACTATCTTAAGTGGACAATAATCGATTTTGCCACCGACTTGTAGCGTGTTTTAAGGGAGTTTTTAGAGTCTCACGGTCACGTATAATCCCATAAATACCCCTGTCTTGTGTACATTAAGTAACTGAATCTATGCTTTTTCCGGAGTTTCTGCCTTTTGTTTGGAGTTCAAGAGTATAAAATTTCTGGCACCAATAAGCTGTTGTTACGAGACGTATCACTTAGAATAATAAATAAGTTTTTTCTAATGCTTGATTATGGTACCAGGAATTAAGAACTGAAGAGGGAGGTTGATTATGAATACAGTGGTCTTGAGTGTTGTTAGAGGTATGAGGGCGGTTATCACTTCCCGGTTGCCCCCACTATGGAAGGGTTCCTCTGGAGGTACCTGGAAAAGAAATTGGATTAGAGGTGGTCATAGTGACCTGAGAGCGTAACCGCAGTGCCCAAGGGACAGCTGCTTGAGGTCGGTCAAACACGACCTTTTTATGAGTAGTTTTTGTGTTAGCTCCGTACTTGTTGAGACCTTACCGCCGGAGACGGATATCTGTGGGATAAGGCGAGATGTGCATTTCTAGGGTCGACCTTTTCTAACCCCTCCCCTCCTTGTGAGAAGGCAGCATCGCTGTTATGCTGGTTGTCTGAAGGAAACACCTTACTGCTGTCACACCTCTGTACAGTCAGCAGTACGACTTCGCCTTCGGACCTTGGATTTGTTGCTTTTAGTCTTATCGCTCTTCAACCGACCTGTGTGACATGGTAGGACCTTGAGGAACGGTTGTTCCAGCCAGTATAGCTCAGTTGCTTCATCACGATGGGCAAGCCCGACCACCACGTCAAGGTAGCAACAACGATCGGGACCAGGAATTATAAATACTAATGATAACTCTTAAGTTATATAATGCATATGATATCCAATCTGTAGTCCCTAAATGCTCTTGTACTGCCGAGGGTAGTGAGAATCCACTTTCTCTCTCTTTAAATCCTCTCATATGGTCATCCATATATAGCCATTCTCAGGGAAGTTCTACTCACTGCCTTCTTCTAAAGGGAGTTTTGCTTACGAAATCGGGAAGATAAAAGTTAAATGTCCAGCGGGGTCTTAAACCGAGTTTGTAGGTATGGGAGATTCACGTAGAGGAGTTCGTAAACCCTGACTCCCAACTTACTGTGCACATGCGCCCCAGGATGCTAAAAATATAACTAACTTCTTAACCTATTTTTGGTCACCGGTTACTACAGAACAACATCTAACATTGCTTCACTGCTCTATAGATTAAACTTCTAAGTCAAAGGCTCGGGTAGTGGCCTCCTAAGAAAATCATGGGCTTCGATTTGAACACTCGGGCAGTATCTTAGTCTACACGGAAGTTCAATGATAACTTGTGTGGCGCATATATATTTGGTGTCCCATTGTACCAATCCCTATGTTTTTAAATAAATAATTAAATCTACTACTCATTTAATGAACCTGGCAAGATAAAATTTCATTTGAAGATCGTTCAAGTTCTCAATATTGTTATTAAAAGTACACACTAATCCATTTGACTGTATTGGGGATGGGATAATTGAATCTCTCCAGTTCAATACGATAAAGTTTCCTTGATATCTCATCACTCACATTCTCTTTTGATCAATAAATACATCTTAATCCCAACACAAATACTCCCTAGATAAAAAAAATTCATGAAACAGTACAAATGTCTGCAACATTCAGGAAATACCAGTAATTAACAAATAATTAAGTATTCTATTCAAAACACGTAACATTTCAGGAAGTCACGCACAAGACCCAATACTGATAAAGTGAACATTACTACAAGTAAATAACGTATTATAACATTGAAATAAAAGTACTAATAAACAGAATAGTTAATTTATTGTGACAACGTAATACTACTATACGCTCTTCTACAATATTCAAGTCACAAAGCAGTTGAAGATATAATATAGACTACTAAATAATTATAAGTAGCACAATGTAACGCAAAGTAGATGGGGGAAACATGTAAATATGTTCGGAAAATGAAAACAAAAATTAACAATATCACTTAATCTTAAGATTCATCTAATGTATAATATATTGAATTTCTTGTGTAATTTTAGGTTAGCGGTGGTCAAACTACACCAGCTGTACAACCTCCAGAAGTAGCCAAAGGTGTACAATCAATATTTGATGGTACTAAATTAGATGTATACAGTGCCGGTGTAACACTTTATTTCATGCTTACTGGTCATGTACCATTTTCATGTCAAAATGTACTACAAATATTTGAAGCAATTGTTAAAGGAGATTATACAATACCAGGATATGTATCAACCAATGCATCAGATTTGATTCGAAAAATGATGCAGAAAGATCCTAAAGCAAGTTTGTTTGTTTGTTTATTTTCAAATCTCCATGTCAGTGTTTATTTCTTGTTTAAATTATGGTTTGTTGTATACATTTATTTGCTATGCACTTCTGGTTAGCGTTTTTTAACGAGTTAGTTTTCTACGGGATGTGGTCGCTAACCCTATGCCCGACCCTCCTCCTTTACCCGGGCTTGGGACCGGCAGTAGCCCCTTAAAGGGACTCCAGGGGGAGTTTCTATGCACTTCTACTGTCTAATATTCCCTGACTACGATACTTCATTAAACTCTTTTCATATCACAACATGAATTTAGAACTAATAACATGTAGGTTTCAATAATTGGAACAACAAAGATTCAGTAGCAAAAATATTAGAGTGTATACAGATATTTAAATAAGAGTCTTCTAGTATCTTTCGTATACTACTGATTCCAAGCATTTTAATAACTAAATATTCCCAATTTTCACTTTGTGAATGATATCATACAAGTTACCCTTCACTACGAAAGGATTGCCCAAAACAGAGTTTGACAATGAATCCTGGTAGGATGGCCTATGCTCCTCCATGAAGGGCAATAGGCTTAAGTAAGTATGTACTCCTCACCGCACTTCAAATGAATATTTATACAGTTGGTTCTTTAATTCTATATATCAAGAATTGTTTAGTTATTTTCATAAATTCACAAATAATGATCACTATTATCTTTAACCTTCCTGTGTTTGTCTTAGTAACTAAAGATTGATGAGTTTTTTTCAGCTCTTACATTAGTCTTAACAATAGTAATAGTTCCTCCCTAAAATCCAAAACCCATTATCTTAAATTTGATTGATTTGTTAATAAAGTGTACCTTTACTTAATACTTTTTTGTTATGTTTTGAACTTGAATTGAAATCATTTGCTATATCTGTCAGTCAGAATTTCGATTATTATTTCTCTAATCTTGCCTATTCTATTCCATCTACAGTCTCTAGTGCACTATGTCTTGACCAATCACATGATCCAATAGATAAGAATAACCATTAGCCGACGCTAAAGTACGCTTCATTCCGTATTGACCTATTTATTCCCAGTCTTGAGTTTGAATAGGAAAAGATACTAACCAAGCTTCTATTACTATATTTCAACCACTCAACATTTATTTCAAACAGTCACTAGCTTATATGCACGAATTATCGGACCACAACACACTCGAAATAAGAAATGATACTTTAAACACAATCATTATATGAATGGCATTCCAAATACGCTTGCATTGTCATTCAAAAGACTCAAAGATTCTGCATTTCGCCAGCATTTTCACATAATAGGTCTAAATCATGTTTGTAATCTAAGTCAAAAAGTGAATTTCTTGGTAGACGACCAAGTCCTGGAAACTTAGATGATGGGAGTATTATCTTTAAAAGGATTTTTTTGATAAAGTTGAATAGAGATGGGAAAATTGAGCAACCCTGACGAACACCATTTCAGGTTGACAATTTTCCATAAGCTCTTTTTCGACCAGTTGTGTTTAGGTTACGAGTTTGTCTTCAATGTCGAAGGAATAGAAAAACAAATTAAGATGTAGATCGAACGTTCATAGGTTTTTGAAAAGACCGAAAAATTTGTTCTTGAGGATTGAAATCCACTTTCTTTATTTCAAAGCAAATTCAGGCCTAACCATCTGTATGTTTAATGTCGTGGAGCAATTATAGTTTAATTTTACAAATTATTGGTATAAGGTTGTGGTAATTGTTGGATGTCATTGAATTCGCAAACCAATCTAAGCTAGAGCACCATTGAGAACCTGGAAGGCCGTTTCGTCCCAGCATGAGACTTCACAATAGTGTCCATCCACGATCTCTCATGTGGGACCCTAACCCAGGACCTTCTGTCACGCGCAAACCTTAACCGTTAGACACCGATTTAAGGGTCTAAAAGTTGCCACATTGACTGTATTAGCACAGTGATAGAAGGTGTGTAAAAGGTGCCATGTTAATGGAAAGCTGAACATAAGATGCAAAATGTAAATTTGTAAACGACATCCGACAGCTCCAACCGTCGATTAAGAGGATACTACCCGTGTTACGATCAGTAACTTACCATCTACCACCAACACGATTAAGACCAACATGAATCGGTGACTCTTTAGTACCTTCACTCTTAACTATTTTGCAGCCTACATTAAGCGCACACACAATTGTCTGACTTGGCTCATTACTAAAAGTTAAGAGGTTAAGCGTTCTCTCACGAGATAGATGCTCCTGAGTCCGAGTCTCACGTGCGGGGTCATGGGTGCACACTGCTGAGGAGTCACATACTAGGACAAAACGGCCGTCCAGTGCTTCCAGGTTTTCAATGGTGGTCTAGATTAGATCGACTCATGAATTCAACTATTAAAATTAGTTATTGTTCATATAACCGATTAATACAATAAGAAAATTCTTGTGCGCTCCTATAAGCCACCATATTATCATACTGTTACCCAACCATTTAACTTTTATAGCATGAGTTAATTTATAAAATAATGGTTTCACTATTAAACCATTCGACTTGTAATCAGTAGATGATTAGTGTTTAAGGTTTGTAGTCATTTGCCGGTTGGTCACACTCCGTGGGAGAACATTTTTTCGAAATACGTGATAATGAATTTGCATTAATAGTAGTGGTTTTGGATACCTGAAAACGTAACCACAATACCCAGAAGACAACAGTTTGAGAATGATCACGCACGAAATTTTCTTAAAAAATAGTTTTAAATGAGTCAGTTTTATACTTAGAAAGACCTTGCTATCGGCGATAGATAATTTGCAAGCCAAGGTGAGGTGTTTCGTTTTTGAGGTTTGACCATTTTAAACTCCGTCATTCTTTTGTGGGAAGACAGTATTGTTCTAGATGCTGATTGTATGAACCAAACATCATACTGCTATCATACCTCAATATTATCAGTTGCACAACCTCATTATCAGACTTTAATCTACCAATCGTAATGTTTTCACTCTTCAACCGACCTGTGTGATTTAGTATAACTTAGAGGAATAAGTGTTTCAGTCAATATGAAACTTGATTGATCAATCATGACAGCCAGAAAACTCTACCAATACGTTAGAATAGCTAGCTGTGATCACATCAAGCAACGAACACCACAACTATTTTAGTGGTTAAAGAATTCGTTGAATGTCACCAATCTTTAAGTACAAATTAAATGTTTGTAGCTTAAAATAAAGTAAATAGACCTTATATTTTGAGAAATCAGTAATATCAATACTGATAACATAAGATCAGAGAAGTGTATGGTGATTGATTGATCAATTGAAAATTGAACATTTTCTTACAAATCAATAATATTATGATTTTTAACAATTTATTTTTGTTTTTCTATTAATAGAAACGTTTAACTTTATTACAAATTCGTCAACAAACTTGGTATATTCAAGATCCACCAACACCAATGTCTGTAGAAAAGATTAAAATGAAATTACGCAATGAATTATTACATACTCAACAATTGTCTAATAATGAATCACCGACACATACATTAATTAATTATCATAAACGACAACAACAACAACAACGTGGTATAATCTGTTGGCTTGATCCATTAATTTATCTACGTCGATGTCATTCTGAATATCCTCTACCACATATTGATGATACTGGAGCTAGAATATTTAATATGGATGAAATTTTCAATAATTCATCGAATCAAACATTTACTAATAGTAATGATAACGATATACAAACATCTTTATCAAATATGATTATCAGTGATAAGGATGAACATTTGTTTAATAATCATGATGGTATTGCACCAATTTCAGTGATTGATCGTTTAAAGGTAGGTATTGAATAATATTCAATTTACCTAGTACCCATTCCTAACTCTACCGAGCAAAAAATATCGGAGTTTGGGTTAGGATACTATGTAAAGATAGCAAATCGATTGAAGACGTAGTAAACCTCCATCAACTGAGTTGTTTGGGACATGTGCAACATAATGCCCAACCACCGCAATGTTGCCTCTTGTAGGAGTAGGTTGGAAAAGGATTAAGGCCAGCCAAACTAAGACCTAGCAATACTGATTGTTAGACTGAGTTAAGTAGTTATGTATAGACTACTTAATTGGTATCTATGTGACTATCGTAAACAATGATTAAAGACTTTGGGTGACATGACTCAATATCGTTCTCAATGGCTCAGGTGTATTCACCCTTTGTTTTTTCTTAAACTTCAATGCTTTCGTTTCGCTAATTTGTGTTTTTTTTCAAGCTGTCTTTTCTATTACCTTATACTGTTACCACCTTTACTATCCTGGGATGTCCTCTAATAATTTCGTCTCGTTGTGCTAATGGGCTATGAGAAATTGAACTGACGCATAAATGTGTCACGACCTTCTACGCTTCACTTGACTAGCTGATCCAATCAGTCACATGAACAAGAATATGTTACTTACTTTCAACCTAGCACTTATCAATAATGATCATTTTTAGTCACTGACTAAGTTCATTGTCTGTAAGAACTATTTTGGGGGTTTGGGAGTGGTTTTAGTTAAAAGACAATAATCTCCTTACTATTCAGATTGTGTATGCTTGAATCAACTGACACATGTTACTAATGGTGTAGAATTAAGCCGAAGAACTATAGGTATCTCATTAACCATGATATATTAGTCAGTTATCATCTGATGTTCCATTGGTTCATCTCTCTTAATTGTAGTCTCTATGTATGCATATTTCTATTTTCATTCAGCTTCGTAAATGGGTAACAATCGTTTTACTCTCGACCGGATCAAATTGAACTTGATCCAATGCACTGTTATGGTTATTTATTACTGGTTAGCTTTTATTGAGAATAAAACGTCTTTTCAGCGATTTTCAGAATAGTTGAATACCGATGGTCACAGTTACTCACTAGAACTCCAGAAATTACCTGTCAAAATTACTTACCAGTTAGCAAGTGATTACTATTAGTATTCAGGGATTTATTGAGATTGTTGAATTTCGTAGTTTGCATTATGAACTGATCTTGGTTAAGTAAGGATTGAAAAGCAGGCAGCACTGGGAAGTTGTTTACTGGCTAGTATGGGACTCTCCTTCCTGGAAGCGCATGTTTACGACTCTACCTGGAATCGAATCGAGGACCTTCAGGTCTTGTGACAAGCCCTTGATGAAATAGCTTCCTGGTTTTCAATGACTGTCTAACGAAAGTCAACCCGTGATGTAAACTGTATAGTTCTATCACTGTTTATATGATTATTATTTTCCCTCTTACTCAACTCATGCTTCTGTACTGATAGGAGTATCTCTGCTTTAATCAATATACCTTTTTGACATTCAATGCTATTTCTCTCTCTCTTAGTTTGAATTTTTATTTGACTAGAGATGATCAGCCATATTGTTTCTTAGTTTCTGAAACTCGGATACAAAATCCAAATGTAATTATTAACCTCGCATCACTCAGTCAATATAGAGGACTAGCGCAATTTACTTTCCATGTATCTGGACCCTTGGCTGCTAATTGGTGGGCATCGCATCAAGTTCAAAGGTATCACAGGCTATCCAGATCCTGGATTCCGGTAGATAGATGGTCGCCTGTGCGATATATGAACATAAACAGTGTACAAATAATGGATAGCGTTCATATTGTATATTATCGGAAAAGATTGCTTTATAATCTGCCATTAGATTTTCGTAAACGATCCGTTGAAAACCATATTAAAGGAATCAAACTCAAATCACTTTTGTATATATTTACTAACGAATGATAAGGGATCCATTTGATCCCAAACGTTTTCTGCTTGATACTATTATTCAAGCATCCGTATAAAGGAATCATAGGTGTGCTCAAAACATTGTCTTATGTGCTTATATCAGACAGAATTGAACACTTTCCATTCAGAATAGTCATAGTAACACAATTCTATCATTTATACATTTTGTTCATCTTACTATACTGCTTTTTTACCTACCATATTTTGTATTCAGGTATTTCATGATTTGGATGACTATGAAGAGTATAGTAGACCAGAAGATATGTCTAGTTTTTACTATTCACCTGAAGCTTGTTTACAATATTCCAATGTTGAAAAACAGCTGGCCAATTTAGGTAATCGCACAATATTCAGACCAAACTTTTTTTATACATTCATTTTATAGACTACTTATTACTTTATAAGTAGTATGTTTTTAAAAGGAAGTAAAATCGCAAGCTTTTAATTTTGCCTATCTTCTTTTTTAAATCGGTCATTATCATCGACTGTGCAAGATGGTGTAATCTATTATTTGTATACAGAATTTCCTGTCATGACCTGCTGAAACGTCAAGTTCACATATTCTTCCTCTTATGTCTTTTTATGATGGAGAATATTCGTTGTTCAGAGGAAATATTTCGGTGCTGTGTTGTGTTCTCTAGACTGGACGGTTTAATCTTAAAGTTTTCATTATCTTTCTAGACAATAGCAACATTATCAGCGCATATTTCAAAGCGTGACAAGATACTAGGATTCTTTCGCAACTGTGACTAAGAGCCTGTTTTGTCCATAATTGTGTAGTCGTTATTTTTTTCTGTTTGCTTTAACTTTCCATCCTTGAAGCAATATCTGAGCTTCAATTATTTACCGTTTTTCTTTTTAGATGATAAGCTTGGTCAATTCCTTTATGTCAATTGTCCGATGCTTGATTAGAATGTCAGGATTATAAAAATTGTCTGACCTTCTTTGTGTTTCCTCTGTTCAGTAATATTTCAACATTTTTTCAATTGAACTCATCTCCATAGTTGTCTACATATATCTATATAAGTGAAGATATATCATTTTGTTTAACAATATGGTGCTTTTCTCAGTTGATGCATTTTATCGTGTAAATGTTTGTTATTGTGTTCCTTTACCTGAATACTGTTGATTGTAAAGATTTTTTAAGTGTTTGATATACGGTTTCTGAAATCTGATACTGATACATAATGTGCTACGCATTGACTCATCCCCCCAGGCTGTCTACTTGAGCGAGAAGATAAGAGTGAGAGAGAAAGTCTATTGGTTTACCGAATGATATTCATAGATACTTATTTATATAAATATACGTTTCTACCTCTTAGAAAATCAATCTATTTTTTAGCTAATGATATACAGTTGTCTTTCAGGTCATTTTACGTTTGTCATCAAGTGACCTTCTTGTTTGGCTACTTCTTATGGCTCATTAAATTATTAGTAGGCTACACTTGTTTCTGTCGGCTTTAATAATCTGTTTACAATCTTGGAGATGTTCTTCATGTGTAGAGGTGATCTTAACACGTAGCACACGTGTATCAGTATCAGATAACGAACGCTGCACGTCTCAACACTTAGGTTTTGCATGTGATTGCTTAACCTCTGGACCACTGATCCAGGATCCAATGGTGAACAGGTCTAACGCCAATCAATTCGTAATATTGTTCAAACGTCTTCCTTGTAGGCGAAACCAAAGGTCATGCGTTTGATCCCTAGTGGTAGTGTCATGAATGAGCACTGTTGAAGTTAAACTACTGTCCAATGAAAAATCATGAGATAGGTTGACGAATATTCACTCTAATATTATTTCTTTTACCCATGAGTATTAATAATCGCCTTATTCAATGCCAAATGTTTTATTATACTAAAGAACTTTAAGCACAAACTATGTAATGTTAGAATAAATTTCCTGTTCAATATCCTATTTAACTTATTATTAGTGACCTTTAGGTCACTTCTGATTACCATCAACCTTGTGTTCCTTCTAGTTGGCTCTCCATATCACTAAGGTCTTGTCTTCGATACCCAGCGATGGAGTTATGTATGTGCACTGCTGCTGAGGAGGAGTTCAATACTAAGACAAAACATCTATCTAGTAGTTCCCTATTTTTAAAAGAATTTAACATTCGAGATCATTCTTGTGAACTTTTTTCAACTGTACACTAGTAAACATGAATAAACAAATCTAAACCCTGTTACATTAATGCGAGAAATTGGGTTCGAAATTCAATTGTCGCTTAATTTAGTTTTTTATACTTTAACACTAACTACTTATTATTTTACTGATTGATCTCAGGAGTTGTGTTTTGTTGTGACAGATATGAAATCTAGAAATCTTTGAAATATTCACTCAGAAGTGGGTATGGGGTTGTGGAGATTGTTAAATTCTTGATTGAGATCATGAATCAATCGATGTTAGACCTGGAAGCACTAGACGGGCGTTTCGTCCAACTGAAGGTCCTGAGTTCGAATCTCGCGTACGAGATCATGGATGCGCAGTGCTGAGGAGTCCCATGCCAGGACGAAACGGCCACACAGTGTTTCCAGGTTTTGAGTGGTTGTCTGACGTCGCTCGATTCATGATTTCATTCAAAAGACATTAATGAATTGTCAAAGTTTACACTTGGCCTTTATCTGCCCTCTAATAGGTATTGGTTCACGAATGGAATCTGATCCAACAATCACAAATTACCCATGTATATATAACAATCTTTCAATGAATTATTTACACTCTGCTAGTCCTATTCATCTAGCAGATGAAACTAGTTGTCCGTCTGGAAAGATTTGTCATCCGATTGACAATGTTCCTGATAATATTGATGATAATAATAATGATCAGTCACATTGTTACTTTTTATCATCAGATGAACAACAACTAACTACTCATCAATCTAAACGAGAAAAATCTATAAAAAGTAATATGACACCACAACCATATTGGGGTCTAGATCTTGGTGTTCCAGTGTATGAAGCTTTACAACCTATCAATAATATGAATGATATATCGGAACCTCCAGCTTGTCCAGCAGATTTACCAATTTCTATTCCTACTACTTACAGACTATCTAAATTTGCAATAAATCCAAATGTAACAAATCGAACTGGTAGCCTACCAGGTCCCATAGCATTCATTCCATCTGATTTAAATGTACCTCGACAAATGCAGAACAGTGTCAATATAAATGATGATGATGATGATAATAATAATAATAATAATAACAATAATAGTAATGATACATTAAATCAAAAAACTTGGCATTATGGTTTAAGACCTATTAGTAGTATACCAAAAGATTTTCCTAATTTCACTTGTTCAAAACAACAACAACAACAAAAATCTACCAATATCATTGTTATTGATCCTGATCAAATATCTAATGATTTAAATACAGATTTTGATCAAACTTCTATTAATTCAACATTAAATAGACAAGAACCATTTGTCAAAAGAGATTATCATTCAACTAATAATAATAATAATAATTTGAATAGATTAAATCAATGGTTTTTCAATCCATTCAATTCATTTCGTAATCGAATAAAAAGTATACGATTTAAAAAAGATGCTTCAAATAATACTCAAACTGCCACTACTACTAATACTACTACTACTACTAATAATAATAATAATAATAATAGTAGTAATAATAATAATAATTGTTATTCACCAGTTGTTTCAACAACCACTTCTAGTTCTTCATCTTCTAATACTGTTTATTATAGAAATGTGAATAGTGCTACAGAATTAACTTCAACTATTGAAGTAACATCATCATTACCTAAAATTCAAATAGATGATGTATCTATTAAATCTACTGGAACTTTACCAAGAGCACGTAATCGATTAAAACCTTGTTCACGTATATTTTCACGAAAGAAAGTTACAGGAAGAAAATAATAATAATTATTATTATTATCGTTAATGATATTGTTGCATTACTATTGCCGTTGACATTGTTGTCGTCGTCATTATCACCGTCTGTTTATGTATGTATTTATGCATGGAATGTATGTATGTATTTTTACATGTATATCAATTTCTTCATATGCAGAGTTGGATAGAAGCGATACAAGATCTCGTTTTTCACACACACACACACACACACTATATATATATATATATATATATATATATATATATATATATATATATATATATATATATATATTCAATGAATAATTGTATTTGTCGTTAGTGTTGTTGATATTGTCGGTTTATCGATTTCCTGCTCATAAGATTTTTCTTTGATTCTTCTCCTCTATTGTCAATACCAATCATAATGATGATGATGATGATGATGACTTGATTACACATTGTTGTTTTTTTTTATTTTATAGTACATATAGAACTCAATAATGCTATTTATTTGATCATTTTTTTTTGTAAAATTTATTTTGTACAATGTATTCACCATTCTGGCTCTCTATTATTATGTTTTAGTATACGGAATAATGAAGATGACAATGTTTAATGTCCCAATAGTTAGCCTTATGTTTGTTTGTTTGGTGACTTTTTTTTTATTCACTGCGTTTGCTCACTGATGTGTTCAATAATTTGTGTATGCTAGAGGTTGTTTCTCTTCATCACCATCATGTTTATTTCATTTTCATGCTCTTCTTCGTTATATTCCTCTTTTCCTCATCTACTCACTCACTCACTCACTCTTTCTTTCTTTCTCTTAGATTCTTTTTGCAAAATTTTAAGTTACCGCTGTCGGTATAGAATTGTGTTTTTGTTGTACCCCTTACACACTCACACAAAACTTGTCTCATTTGTAAATAGTATGTAAATTTTAATTGCACACACATATAAAGATGATAGTTGTGTATTTATGCCGAGCATTTTTTTTAAATCAAAACTTTTCATATTATCTCTAATGCTTTTACAATTTCTCTCAATTTCTGCTTCCCTTTTATCCTTAATCATCAGTTGTCTTATAGAACTGAAAAGATAAGTTTCTCGGCTTAATTTAATTCCTTTATTCATTTCAGCATGCAACTTTGTTAGTAATTACGATTATTATTATTATTTCGTAATGTTCCATAGTGTGTGCGTGTGTGTTTACACGCGCAACTTTATGGTCATGTGTATACCCTGCACACCTAGATTGTTCCAGTGCTTGCACGCAAATAAACTCACATTCACACGCACATCACCTATCCAAAATGCCTATATGTATTTTTTATTGTTTAATGTCCTGTATTACTTATGAGTAGTATGATTTGAGTGAAAACAATTCCTGAGTACTTTGTTTTCAGTTTGAAAATTCATGCTTATATGAATAGTGCATTACTAGGCTTATTATATATGTAGTCAGTGTAATTGCAACGTTCTTTTGCAATGATTCGTTTTTTTGCGTTGTTAGGTTTTTAAGCTTGGCGACTGAATAGTATATCACTCTGAACAACACCATCAAATGCTCAGTTGATATGGCAATGAGTTGTTTAGTTATTCCACATACATTAATGTAGTTTCTCCCAATGGTTTTCTTTATAAATGGTTGTGCTTTTAGGTACTCTTATCCTCATTTTTCCTCGTATTCCTGTTGATTGTCGTGTTCAACTGACCTCTAACCATGTGACTGATTGACCTATTTCGTCAGAGTTGTTAAAATAAATCGGTCTACCTATTGATTACCGATAGATGAGAATCTTACGCTTTTACAAATTCCCTAGCATTTTCAACGTTCTCTCAATCTAGAGTTTCGATGTATTTCTGTTTAATTGTAAACAACATAGGAATAGTTTATAATGTCTTAATCTTTTTTTTTCATCACGGAATCAATTGAATTTATTCATGCGTGATCAAATCTTCAGAATCCTATTTATTTATTTATTTGAACGTATAAACATTGGTACAAGGAAGCACCAAATATATATATACGCCACACAATAACAATGAAGCCAGTAGTAGTTATCACTGGTACGGCCGAGAGTGAGGAGAGTCCGCTCTCCCTCTCGAAATGCTCTCACATGGTCACGCGTATATAGCCTCTGCCAGGAAAGTCCTACTCACTGTCTTCTCACACCACGGGTGTTGTTTACGAAAATGAGAGGACGAAAAGAGAATGTCCAGTGCTTTAACCTGATCCCGAATCAATGGTGCACATGGGCTCCAGTATCCTGAAGGAACAAATGGCGTATGAACCAATCGTTGGTCACCGGCTACCATGGGACTGCATCACCTTACGATGCTCCACTGCCTTGTGGATCAGACGTTCAGGTCGAAGGCTCGTGGTGTGGTCCCCTAAGAGAACCACCTGCTTCGGTCTGGGCACCCGGGCAGTATTCTAGCCCTTACACAAATCAGTTGAGATTTGTGTGACGCATATGTATTTGGTGCCTCCGTGTACCAATACCTATGTGTTAAAATAAATAATTAATTAATAAATCATTGGTTTGTATGAGCGCTATGATACTGCCCGGGCACTCAAACCGAAACAGGTGGTTTTCTTAAGGGGCCACTCCCTGAGCCTTCGACCTACACATCTAATCCACAAATTAGTGGAACAACGTTAGGAGGTGCGATCCAATGGTGGCCGGTGACTAAAAATATGTTAATACGCCATTTGTTTCCTTAGGATCTTGGAGCCCATGTGAAATTCTAGTCCTTTCAATTTCAGAATCCTAAACTGAATATTTTTCAGAAAACATATTCATTAGTCAAATGAAATCAGTTCGCGTAAATCATGTGTTTGGTGAAGTAAAGTTCTTAATCCATATATACAAAAATAGTGTAACTATAAATTACTTGTCAGGTTGAAAATAAACACTTCTTGTAACAAAAATCTGGTAAAAAATATAAATCTTGAATCAAGTTTTCACATATAGTCAGCGTCACAATGTTTATATCAGTCAATGTATTCATTTTTCGGATTAAATAGTTATATTCAACTGACCTTCCTTTATCAGTTCATATTTGACAACCATTCTTAAAAGTATACTTTACAGCTAGCAATATCCAGTGACTGATGAAGAGACTTTGGGAAAATGAAAACCCATTTTTAGCCTATCGGAATGTAGGAGATATGGATGAATCATTTACTGTCAAAAACGGGATTTGTGGAGGTTGTAGCAAATTTTTATTAGTTGAATTCACGAATCGATTCATGCTAGACCACCATTGAAAACTTTGGAGCACTGGATGGGTTCAGGTCTTGGGTTCGAGCCCCGAGTGAGGGATCGTGGATGCTCATTGGTCAGGACTCCCATACTAGGACGAAACGACCATCCAGTGCTTCCAAGTTTCCAATGTTGATCTAGCTTAAATCGATTCGTGAATTCAATTGTTGAATAATTTACTGAATAAGATTCTCAAAAAAAGATTGAGGATAAGATGTTTGATTCTGGATTTATGGTTAAGAGCTTGATCCGCAATTAGGATTTTAGATCAGTGTATGAAATTTAGGATTGGCAAAGTAAGGGCCGCATTCCTAAAATTGAAGAACATATGGAACTCAAAACAACTTTCAACCAATATCAAAGTCAGAATCTTCAATACGAACGACAAGACAGTTCTACTGTACAGAGCTGAAACTTGGAGAACTACTTCAACCATTATCAAGAAGGTACAAGTATTTATGAATACTCAACATCCGTTGGCCGGATACTATCAGCAACAGCCTACTGTCGGAGAGAACAAACCAACTTCCAGCTGAGGAGGAAATTAAGCAAAGACGATGGAAATGGATAGGACATACATTACGGAAATCATCAAACTGCATTCTAAAGGGAAGCGGAAAAGAGGAAGGCCAAAGAACACATTACGTCGGGAAATAAAAACAGATATGAAAAGGATGAATAACAACTGGAAAGGATTGCTCAGGACAGCATATGATGGAGAGTGGTAGTGGTTGGCGGCCTATGCTCCACGATGAGGAGTAACAAGCGTAAGTAAGTAAGTATGAAATTTAGATACGAAACATGAGAATATAATTTAAAGTAAGAAGTAATCGTTAGAAATAGAATGAACACTATCTTTTAAGCTGTATAAATGAATACTTATACAATTGGTTTCTTCCATTTTAAAAATTAGGAAACTTCAATCTACCGTTTAAAAAATTCATATTATCATTTCTAATCATCTTAGAGACTGGATTTTGTTAAATTTTATTTAGCATTTAATGAGATAGATATAATTTAATTGTTGTTGCAATGTTAATATCATGCAGATATCCAAGAGCCACTATCCTATATCGATTAGTTATGTCAGTAGGAGGTAGATTTCTCCTAAACTGTCATATTCTCTCGTTGAATAAAAAACTTTCAACTGATTCTAACTATTCAGCTATGTATAAATGGTACAGTTGTGGGTTCGAAACCCGCTTCACTTAACTTCAGTTCGGTTAACCCAGTAGTGTTTACTAACCCTCAGATACTTAAATAAATGTGGTTCGGAGTTAAATACATGAAACTGTTTCTTGGTGAATTCGCTAAAGCCCTGAAATGCCCTAATGCGGCCGAGGGTGGAGAGAGTTAGCTCTCCCTCTCGAAATACTCTCAAATGGCCACGCGTATACAGCCACGGTTAGGGAAGTCTTACTACCTGCCTTCTCGCCGCTGGCTTGTTGTTTATGAAATCGAGAGGATGAAAAGCGAATGTTCGACTCTTTAACTAGGTTGGAGGACTCATCTAGGGGGGTCGCAAAACTCTGATTCCAAACTAATGGTGCACATGGGCTCCGGATTCTGAGGGAACAAATGGCATGTGAACCTATATAATCATTGTTGATGATAATCACGTAAACCTTAACCAAGTAGTCTATACCCATCTAGATAGCTCAGTTCAACTGTCACCGTCTTTAGGTGTCATATCATTTCTTGATTTGGCTACTTATAACTTAATCATGGATTTCTGTCCATATGGTTCTCAAAATCTTCCTTCTTATGTTCTGTTTCTCTGAATTTTCAACAAATTGAATAATAACTACCAGTGGGATTCAGGACGTACGTTTCATCTTACTTGTAATTTTTGAACTGAATGTACGTACATCCAAATGTTATTGTTTCCACTAAAACTCAAACCTAGTATCTGTTGTGTATCGAAAATTTCGGCTGCTCTTATGGAGAACTGTGTAGCGGACATATAACTAAACAAGTTAGTGAATACCTCTCCGTGATCGATAAAAAGCATAACAAAAATAATATTCAGCTACATTCTATCACATTTGATCAATAATGATCATGTAACAGATAGACCTAAACCATTAAAAGTAATGTATGTTTCTATCTATTTCGATCTTGTATCTTGCATATATCAGAATCTATTGAGATCCTAGCTAACTACTCAAGCTTTTTATTCATAAGGAATTTATGACACTTTTAGCTTCTCTGACTGCATCAAAAATGAATAGACGTGGAGGAAATAGCTGGGTTGAATCCGATACCCGCCAGTACATCAGATCTGTCAAGACTGAAGATTCACATGTGTGTAAAATACCTACTAACACAAATCTAAACAGATAGGTTCTTACCCATTGCCTCCAACCATCTAATGTCACACTTGACTCAGACACATATAGTCGTTCCTCAGCTATCTCATTAATATCGTCACAAGTTCAGCATAACTGATGAGTCATCAGTTGTAAAAGGTACACCATTTACTTTCAAGTGAATCCTAATAAGCCATAATACGTAACTTTCTATTCATAGCTACTAAACATTAAGAAAAGACTCACTTTCTAAGTGCAGTTAGCCGAAATCGAATATTTTCTTCCATCATTAGTCAATGTTTTCATACTCAAAACAGTTAAATCTTTAGCTCAAGAAATTTGTAGAGGTTATTCAATGGATAATTTACATCAAGGAATAGCTTTACATGGTCAGTTATTGAAAACCATGGGACATTAGGTGACCATCTCGTCTTGATGTGGAATTCCTCAACAGCGGACATGAATGACCTCATCATCGATTAGTCATCAAAAGTTCCAGGTATTACCTTTAAACACCAAACATAAGAAAATGGTGGCTGGCAGTGGGATCCCTGATGGGAGTTTAATCCTATTCTGAACTCATCATCTGGATATACCTGAATCTTAGAGTTAATGTTGACTCTTGGACTCAAACCCAGTACCGTTCACTTTAAACTTCACCGCGTCATCCACTTAGCTACTGAATTCATCTTTGCTTGTAATGCTTGTGAATTAAAGCAATATGTACATATACCAATAAGCGACTAATCAATTGCAGTACTAAACATCAATGGGAAGATTCAAGTAAAACAATATCAAATGAATTTAAATTGAAGCTATTTCTGAATAACAAACGTTTATTTAATTTTTGTGCTTTTTCCCGACGATAATAATATATATGTTAACTTACCAGCTTCTTTCTAGAAGGTGAAAACTAATTTATCATTTCAAATAATTCAGACTAAAGATGATGAAACAGAGCTTTTTCATCTTTCTCTCTGTCTCTCTCTCTCGCGCTTATTCTCTGTCTCTACTTCACAAATAAATGAATGACTATGAAACAAGGTGGTAGATCGTCAAATGATAGTAGGCATAATAGTAGTAGTTACATGCTGTGTAAAATATTATTTACCCTAACTTTATTATAATTATCAACACTATTATTACTACCAATATAATTATTACTATCGTCAATATACTTGTATAGAAGGTGTTGTTGGTGTGTATTATCCTTGACTTTACATACACACATATAAATAGGCAGAAATTTCGATATACAAAAGACGGTTTTATGCCTCCAATATGATGCCATTGTTATTATTATCAATATAGTTAGTGTTATTGAAATAAAACTTCTTCTTCCCCTGGTTTGCTTACTGCTTACAATT